TCCTCTCCTCTTTTCCCCTAACCCTTTCTCCTTCCTCCTTCCATCCTCTCCTCTCTTCTCTCCTCCTTCCATCTCCCCCTCCACACCCTCTCTTCTCTTCGTCCCCTTCCCCACCCTCTCCCCTCTTCCTCCTCCCCACCCTCTCCTACCTTCCTTTTTCCTCTGCCCCCTCTCTTCCCTCGAGTATCCTTGAAAAGAGGTTCTGGCCCCCAGAGCCGCACTAATAAGACCAACACAGATTATATATTAACGCAACGGGAAGTCGTCTAATGATGATACCAGGGTCCTTAAAGCAGTTACTTGTGGGTGGGTGGGTGGGTGGGTGGGTGGGGGGGTTATTTTTATGTCATAAGGCAACAAGTTAAGTGGTATTCTCACATGTCTAGTTACGAGGAAAATTTATTGTACGATTTTTTTTAGAGTCTGAAGGATTGGATAACTGGTCGTAGACTGACACTCTTGACACGAGGACTGATCCACTCTTGACGCTCTTGAGTTAGTCTTGACACTCTTCTGATACAGTCTTGACACACACACACACACACACACACACACGTATACTGTTCATATTATAGCTAAACTTGCGTCCAATAAAGACTGTTGAATACAATCTAGGACTGTCAAACAAAACCTTAAACACTGTAATCACGAATGAATTTGAAACAAGTAGACAAGTGCAAATAGGCACTAATCAATCGCTTGTTTACCATGATGAGATGCATCAAGTGCAACATGTATATGGAGCAGGTAACAAGATCACTAGATTACAAGGTTAGGATATGAGTACAGTTGCCAGCAAAAGTTCTCCCACAGCCCTGTGCAGCAAGTTGTGGGAGGACTTTTGCTGGCAACTGTACCTGTCAGTATATCCCTCAAGCAGATGTGAACAAAACTAAATTTAAAGCGTGTGACCAATATAACCACACACTCCAATATTACTTCATGGACTGTGAAATAATAGAACCTTATAGGGACAGATCCAAGACACAATGTGTATGCACTTATATGTCGACTTGACAATGTTTTGGAAAATACTGAAGCACTCAATACCACAGTATCCTCATCACAGGGGTCTGATAAACACCCTTTGTGGCCTCGACTCTGTAATCCTTTATGCGTTGCCGCTCACGGGAGGAGTATGGGGAGCACAATAAACTAGCTGCTGTCGGAGTCAAAATATTCCCTCCTCACCACTCATCCACCCACCCCAATCATCCTCCCTCCCTTCCCACACACACACAAAAGACCTATTTGCCTACACTTCCTTCCCACATGTGACAGGAGGGGAATTATCAGATGCCCGCATGAGGACAGCTTCCCCGGCCAGCTGCATCAAGGTCGACCTCTGCAACTGCCTGTTCGACTGCTGTATGGTGTGTCGAGGAGGACCTTGTGCAATATGAAGCTCGGGAGGGGGAAGGAAAGGAAGGAGAAGGAGAGAAAGAGAAGCAAATGAGAAACAGAAAACGAGAAAAAGACAGAACATGAGAGAGAGAGAGAGAGAGAGAGAGAGAGAGAGAGAGAGAGAATCGACTCCTAAGTTCGAGCTTGCATATCAACAAAGGGACCCATTAGAACGAAGGGACCTACGGAACGAAGGGACCTACGGAACGAAGGGACCCATTAGAACGAAGGGACCCATTAGAACGAAGGGACCCATTAGAACGAAGGGACCCATTAGAACGAAGGGACCCATTAGAACGAAATGACCCATTAGAACGAAATGACCCATTAGAACGAAGGGACACATTAGAACGAAGGGACCCATTAGAACGAAGGGACCCATTAGAACGAAGGGGGACCCATTAAACGAGTCACTACACGCGAAGGTCAACTGCGTCAGCCAAGACTCGACCAACGGCTGCCTCGTCCCTCGTGACCCGCCGTTGTTGTTTATTTTTGTGATTCTTACTGTTGTTGTTTTGATTCTTACTGTTGTTGTTTTGATTTTTGTTGTTTTTGTTTTGATTCTTACTGTTGATGTTTTGATTCTTACTGTTGATGTTTTGATTCTTTACTGTTGATGTTTTGATTCTTACTGTTGTTGTTTTTGTTTTGATTCTTACTGTTTTGATTTTTTGTTTTTGTTTTGATTCTTACTGTTGTTGTTATTCTTACTGTTATCTATTGTTACCGTTGTTGTGGATGTGACACTGTTGTTATGTCTCATTACCGTTGTCTGTTGTTCTACTTACTGTTGCTGGCGGTGTTGTCTTTGTATAATTAATGTTGTGTTTTCTTGTTGCTGCTCCCCACCACACACCCTCCTACACACTCTTACCCACACACACTCTTTCCCAACCACACACCCTACTCCCCACCCATACACACCGTCACCCATCCACACACCCTCTTCCTCCAACCACACATACCCTCATCCACTCACACCCACCTCACCAATCCACAAGTCACCTCTTAACATCACCCGTCAATCACCAAACAGTTACCATCACAGAGGACGCCTTGAAGAACCAGTCCTCCTCTTAACTGTGGCTGGTGACATCACGAGAGTCACCACTACACCAAACAAACAGCCAAGGGTTATGTAAGCACCAGCTGACCCGTTTGTGTGTGAGCAGACCTAACACACACACACACACACATCCTGATCAACGACGCTCTATCGGACACTCCTCACAGGTGGAAGTACGTAGATGACTGCACTGTGGGGGTTTCAGTGGACAACACCGCACCAGACTACTCATCGCTCCAAGGCACCCTGGACAGGCTGCAGGCATGGACTACGGAGAACAAGGTTCACCATCAACCACACCAAAACCGTAGTCATGCACATCAATACTGCCACCACTCCAGTGCAAGCCCCAGCAGTCACAGTGGGTGCCCATCCTCTCCAGCTGGTGCAGTCTGCCAAACTCCTGGGTGTAATTATAGACAACAAACTTGACTGGAAGGCCCATGTAAATACCACAGTCAAGGCAGCCTCGTACCGTCTCTACATGCTACGAAGACTTAGATCACTTGGGACACCCACGTCAGAGCTGAGGACCATCTACAACGCCTTTATTCTCCCCAAACTAACGTATGCGTCACCAACCTGGTCGTCTTCTCTCAACTCCACCCAACAACGTCAGCTAGAGAAGGTACAGAAAAGGGCCTGCAGAATCATGCTCGGCGCAGAATACTCCGGCTACACCAACGCTCTCTCCACCCTGGAAATACCATCCCTCAGTGACCTCCACCACCAAGCACTGGAAAGGTTTGGCCGTGGATTACTGCACCACCCTCGCCATCGCCACCTCCTGCAGCCCCCCACCCAACTCGCGCAGTCCGCCACTACAACAAAATTCAGCCCATAAGAGCCCGCACCGATAGATATAAGAACAGCACCATCCCATCTATTGTTAAAATAATAAACAACTCCTGATTTATGTACTGCACAGCCCTGTAAATGTATTCAATGCATTATATCATTATGTCTAAATTAAATGTAAGTCTGTATATTTTCAGCCACCGGCTGCAACTCTATTAATAAACCGTTTATTATTATTATTATTATTATTATTATTATTATTACTCTCTCTCTCTCTCTCTTCAGGTTAATTCTTTCAATGTTATCAATTGTTTTGGGATGACTGAAAGAAGGAATTATTTTCGGACTTTTTTTTCTTTCTCTTCAAATTTTCGAGCGTTATGGAGACTGTATCAAAAATTACTCTAAACTTTCAACCATTTCGAACGGTGTGTGACAGAAAATGGACGATGGTCAACCCCAACTTTTTTCTTCTTCATATTTTCATTCAATCTATAAACTTATAAAGGCCTAATTATCCTCCCTAATGACCGAGAGACTAATTAACCATTACAAAGACTTAAAATTTAACCAACAATATACCATCTTGAGGCCGCTTCACCCTCAGAGTTTTTCCAACCTTTCAAAAATAAACCCAAAATTATTTCACACGATAAATAAAAACATACAGACAGACATAGAACCATTACTTATAACTAAAAAGACAATTGGGATGATTAAAGGATGATAGGAGGATATTAATTATGTTAAAATATATAAATACCTTTTGTTTGTAGTGGTGGGATGTAGTTAGTATACTGTAGGCTGGGCAAGGCACTACGATCCTGCCTGTGGAAATAAAATACACATAATTTATCAAAAATACATAAAAAATATATCAACTAACACATAAAAAGACAATACGAGTTTCTTAATGAAATAAAAACCTGAAATTTATAGAAAATATTAATTTCTTGATATTATAAGAAAAAACGTGATTGTATCGGGGTAACTAAAATAAACACGACAAAAAACGGAATAAACTTGAAGTATAAACAAGAGACAAGAGAAGTATGTAGAAATTGCAGACAAGAGGATGTACAAGATTTTTTTTTGTATGTGTCGTGAGTTGTTCTAAAAATAAACTTTAATATTATCTAGTTAACAGTAAATGCAATAACTTGTTGTGAACGGCCTTGACACAGTCGTCATATTGTTGAATGTGGAAATATGAAATATCTCTGTGGACAAACACACACACACACTACTGATATCCCCACTACCAAACACGGGGAGAGGGGGAATATGATAAAGATGGGAAGAACGATATACAACTGATGAATAGATAACCACAAAGCAGAGAAATAAATGAAGGGGGAAAACATAAAATGATAAATAACACAGGAAGAATAGAATTACGATGATATTTACAGATAAGACGAACGATAATAAACAGATAACCAGAGACGACAGGAATGGATAAAAGGAAATATGAAGTAATACGAGTAATAATAACTAAATACTCACAAAGGATGAATATAATTTAAGATATTATAAACTGTATCTGATAACGAGATATGCATCCACCACCCTAGCACAGATATCAACTATGCTAAGCTAAAGTCAACAAGAGTCAACCTACTTTCCTTCATCACACACTCGACTAAATCATTTCACTTTCTAAGACCTCCAAATAGTGACATGTTGAGGTGCTGAGGGGGTGCTAGCCTGGGAGGCCATAGACATAGTGCTAGGGTGCTGAGGGCCATATAGGGTGCTGGGGGGCCATACAGGGGTGTTGGGGTCCACAGGGTGCTGGGGCCATAGGCCATGGTGCTGGGGCCATAGGTGTACTGGAGGCCACAGGATGCTGAGGGCCATAGGGTGCTGAGGGGCCATAGTGCTGTTGGGGCCTAGGTGTTGGGAGGCCATAGGGTGCTGAGGGCCATAGTGTGTTGGGGGCCATAGGGTGCTGAGGGCCATATGGGAGGCCATAGGTGCTGGCTGTTGGGGCCATAGGGTGCTGGGGGTCCAGGGTGCTGGGGGCCATAGGGTGCTGGGGGGTCACAGCAATCATGACAACAATTAGCAACTATAACGACCACATAACCACAACAGCCAACCACCATCACAACCACCACCACTAGCGGTTTAGTGGGTCACTTGTCATCCTGGCTCCTGCTGGCCCCGTTACTCGAGGGTCAGACAGGGTAGTAGTGTGAGGTCACCATCAACCAGCAGGCATCCTTGGCACTGTGGATGGCCCTCGCCTGGCACTCGCATGGCCGACACGTGGCACCAGGCCTCCCACTTGCTGACTGTTACTATAACGGCGGTTGTCATGAGGTGGGGTGTGGCACTGCCCTCCACTCCGAATTGGTCAACAGGAGATTTACAGTGACGTTGCTATTGCTGGAACGAGACCCCGAGCTGCTTAACGAGTCTGAACTGCTGGAACGAGAGTCTGAACTCTTCGTCTCACCAACAGATGGCAGTGTACTATCTCATCTGGGTTCGGTACAGTTTCGAACAGGTGCGTACAAAAACTTCTGACCGCAACTGAATACTATTGTCAAAGGTAATAATTCGGTCTAGGTGCAGCTAATTAGGCCTGGAATGGTCTCGAGGTGCTACGGGTCTTCAAAGGTACATTCAGGTGACCATTAACTCTTGTTACATACTAAAACTATGACTACAAGAGATACAGTCATTAACTACTGTAATGGGTCGTTTCTGCTGTTACAGGATAAGTATAGTGAGTTGGTGACTAGTGCCTGAGTTACTGAAGGCGGGGATGACAGAAGGAAGGAAGGAAGGAAGGAAGGAAGGAAGGAAGGAAGGAAGGAAGGAAGGAAGGAAGGAAGGAAGGGAGGGAGGGAGGAAGAAAGGAAGGGAGGGAGGAAGAAAGGAAGGGAGGGAGGGAGGGAGGGAGGAGGAGGAGAGAAAGGAATGAATGGAGAGAGGAAGGAGGGAGGGAGAGAGAGAGAGAGAGAAAGGAATGAATGGAGAGAGGAAGGAAGGAGAGAGAGAGAGAGAGAATTTATAAATTTATAGATTTCTTAATATCTCCAACACTGTCAAGTACAACATTCCACACACACACACACACACACACACCTTAGATCCCTTGTCAACAAAACACTGGAGGCTGCCAACACTTATCTCTTAATTTACTGTGCATCATTCAGAGCCAAGAGAAAAATTAATTTATCTCTCTACCTTACAGTCACGAGGTCCACAAACTTTCTTATAACTTTGGCAAAATATTCCCCCAAAATATCCCTACTTGATGTAAAAAAAAATTGTTACTATCCTCCTCAAGGGTCATGGTATTGAAGGGGCTAAGTTATCGTACTCAAGGGGTTAAGTTATCGTATTCATGGGGGTTAAGACGTCGTACTCAAGGGGTTAAGCCATAATCTTCCTGGGGTAAAGTCATCATGCTCAAGGGGTTAATGCTTTATACTCAAGAGGTTAAGTCATTATCTTCAAGGGGTTAAATCATCATCTTCAAGGGGTTAAATCATCATCTTCAAGGGGTTAAATCATCGTCTTCAAGGGGTTAAATCATCGTCTTCAAGGGGTTAAATCATCATCTTCAAAGGGTGAAATCATCATACTCACGGAAATTAAATTAAAACGTCATACTGGAGGGGTTAAAGCCTTTGTACTCACGAAATTAAAACGTCGTACTGAAGGGGTTAAATCATCGTCTTCAAGGATATAAGAATACAAATGACAGCAGCTTCAAAGAGATACAGTTATGAGACGGAGATGTACAGGTAGTGACTCACGAGGAAGCAGGAAGGCGTGTCTCTCTCTCTCGGTACTGTTTATTTACCAGACTGAGGTGCAACGTGAGAATTTGTGACCTAACGTGAGAATTTTTGTTCTAACGTGGGAATTTATAGCCAAGAGTGGGGATTTATAGACAGGAGTGGGGATTTATAGCCAGGAGTGGGGATTTATAGACAGGAGTAGGGATTTATATCCTATACACCCCCTCCCTACACCTTACCCCTCCCCCCATTACATCCTCTCTCCTTTCCCCCCCCTCCTTCCCTCATAGCATCACTACCTTCCCCACCTCACTCCTCCCCTTAAACCACCACCTATCACCCTCACCTCACAACCTGACTGGCACTCTGTTCTGGCACTCACAGACACCACCTTGCACAACCGCCTATTTTAAACACCCATAATAAAACTCTTCCACACAGTAAAGACCTTTCCCGCTCTACTTAGACCTCAATAACATCAACTAAACTTCACTCAAGGACTGTTATTTATTTATTTATTTATTTATTCATTTATTTATTTATTTATTGTATTTATTTATGTTCAGGTTTCTGTTGTTGTCTTCATGGGTAATCGACCCTAAATGAACTCTAGTCCTGATTTGGCATCCACTCCACTACTACCACTCTTCCTAATCGGCCACCTTCCCCCCCCCCACTCTCCACTCTCCCCACTCTCCACTACTTCCACTCCACTACTCCCATTTCACGACTCCACTACCACTCTTCCTAATGGGCCACCTTCTCGCCCCCCCCACTCTCCACTATTCCCACTCCACCTTCCACTCCACTACTCCCATTTCACGACTCCACTACCACTCTTCCTAATCCACCTCTCACTACTCCACTCCACTACTCCCATTTCACGACTCCACTACCACTCTTCCTAATGGGCCACCTTTCTCTCTCACTCTCCACTCTTCGAAATGGGCCTTTCTTATCCTCTTAATTGTGATGTTAGGTTGGGGTCTATTAGGACTGGGGCACGGTAGGACAATAACCTACTACGGCCGGGCTCCTATTACGACTGGGGCCCTATTATGAATTGGACCCTATTACGACTGGGACCCTATTACGACTGGGGCCCTATTATGACTTGGACCCTATTACGCCCGGGCCCCTATTACGACTGGGACCCTATTACGACCGGGAACCTATTACGGCTGGGACCCTATTACGACTGGGGCCCTATTACGACTGGGGCCCTATTACGACTGGGACCATATTACGACTGGGACCCTATTACGACTGGGGCCCACTTGGACAGAAAAGATCCATTTCACATAAGTGGTGGCAGCTGTTTACCACCACCTGTAGTAACATCACCAGCTGGGGAAGTTGATAAAGTACCCGTACTCGTTCCTCATAGATGGTGGCTCACAGATGGTGTGGCTCACAGGTGGGGTGGCTCACAGATGGGGTGGCTCACAGATGGGGTGGCTCATAGATGGGGTGGCTCACAGATGGGGTGGCTCACAGATGGGGTGGCTCATAGATGGTATGCCCAGGTGGACTTAACATTATGTATCTGCCTAAATCACCAACTGTTCTGTCTACCTTAATTTATCATATCTCTGTATCTATCTATTATCTTATTTATCCTTTATCTTTATTGTCTCTATCTATATTATCCCTCATTTATTCTCTCTCGCATTTAACCTATCTCTTTTTCTCTCTCTTTTATCCCATATCTCTCAGGGGAAGGGAGAGGGAGGGGGAAATGGGAGGGGAAGGAGAGAGATGGAGTAGGTGGGAGAAAGGAGGAAGGGAGGATGGACATGGGAAGGAAGCGGGAAGAGGAGGAAAGGAATGGGGAGGAGGGAGAATAGAAGAAGAGGGTAAGATTAGGCTAAGTCAACCCGAAAATATTAATTCTTCCCTTTCCCCCCCCCCAAAAAAAATCCTTTCTTCCACTTCGCTTCAAAAATCCGTCTCTTAACAAAACACAAAGTTAAATCAGGAATGTTCTTCAGGTATATGTTAACCAGCGTCTACTATTGACTGAGAGGACCATAGTGAATAGAAAAGATTAGCCCCCCCAGTTTATTTCACTTGAAGATTAACCATTGATCTAATCTAACCCAACCCAACCCAACCCACACAGGTAACGCAATCATATCTAAATCCTCAGGTAATCAAACAGTCGAAACGTCCTTCAAGACCTACAATATAACAGTATCAAGACACCCTAATACAACACGGAAATAAATGGGCTATACTTCCGGGTCGTTTCTCTCTCTTTGAGTCAGACGATTACTCCCTCGCGTGTACATGAGGGAGGGAGGGAGGGAGGAGGGAGGGAGGGAGGGAGGGAGGGAGGGAGGGAGGGAGGGAGGGAGGGAGGAGAGGAGGGAGAGAGGGAGAGGGAGAGAGGGAGAGAGAGAGTGTGTGCACTAGGGTCATGGCCAACTTTACACTAGTAGGGTACAGGCACACGCAGGCTTCACGTGGTAGCAACATCAGTCCAAAAGTACCCAGTGACCTCCTACCACCACACACACACACACACACGATAAAGGAAGCACCTAACACTACCTGGGGGTTTAGGTTAGGTTAGGGTGTTTAATCATCATGTGAAATAAGCTGGGGAGACTAATCTTCAGGTAATCCCACAAAAAAATAATTCTCTCGAGGTGTTGGTGGTAGTGGTGAAAGGGGGAGGAAGTGGTGATGGAGGGGTGGTGGAAGGGGTGATGACATGAGCTGGTGGTGGTGGATAAAGAGAGAGAGAGAGAGAGAGAGAGAGAGAGAGAGAGAGAGAGAGAATCACACCACACTTGCAGAACAGCTACTAGAAACACAGTATAGAACAAGAACACCCTCGTAACCTCAATGAACAAGTGGGTGTTGAGAGGCGCCATCTGGAGGTCACCCCAAAACTACCTAACAACCCTTACCCCACGACCTGATCCTCCCAAAATTAGGTCACTGAGTCTTATTGGTCTTTACGTTGAGTCTTCCTCCTGATTGGTTGAAAATAGTGTTCATAATGGCGTCAAATTTATACAGAGACTCTTTAGTTGGAGATGTTGTGTAGATTTAAAGAATTGAAGGTAGAAGGGCCAGGGTTAAGTAGAGACTCCCCTCCTCTTTACGACCCACTATCTTTCACGACCCACTATCTCTCACGACCCACTATCTCACGACCCACCATCTCTCATGACCCACCATTCTCACGACCCACCATCTTTCACGACCCACTATCTCTCACGACTCTATCTCTCACATGACCCACTCATCTCTCTCACGACCCACTATCTCACGACCCACTATCTCAATA